ACACAAAAACAATTCCTCAAATGAACTCACGTATATAATCTATATACGTAATTAACTCAACACTTGTGCGACGACGTTAGAAAATTGGTTTCCATTAAAACAATGAGTTTCTTCAGTAACGCAGTGAAGTCCTTCCTCATGATCACATAATCACAAGTAGATAAAAAAATATGACATAAATTAATTTTTAAATTTTAATTTTAAAGTCTTAATCCGTTATTTTTTCACGCGACGCTGACAGTTCAAATACGGCACATATGTAACAGGCTGTAATGAGTGTGTGTTTGTGTGTGTTTGTGTTGCTGTTGGCCTCGGGGGCTGCTTCATTGTTGTGTGTTTATTAGTGACTAAAAGAGACAGAGACGTAAGAGTGGGGGGGGGCAGAGGGGAGAGGGGGGAGAGAGAGAGAGAGAGAGAGAGAGAGAGAGGAGGGGGATTAGTCGAGCGAACAATGAGGAGAGGAGCACATGACAGACAGGAGGTTTCACCAATGAGATTAGACAAGGCTCTTACATGAGCCAGGACAGGGTTAATGACACAATGACAGCACACGTGTACGCAAACACAATCCTCCTCCTCCTCCTTCCCTGCGATTGGCACTTAGACATTTTTTTGACTTTTGGACTAATCTGATTGTTTTTCAACAAATCGGTGGGTTTAATATCAGATTAGTGGATTTGCGCTCCCAGATGTTTTTTGTTCAGACAAATGGATTACAGTATTTAAACTCTGCGTGTGTGTGTGAGTGTGTGTGAGTGTGTGTGATCCCAGCGTTGGGTTTATTTGCGTCGCACGCTCCATTTTACATGGTAGGAGTTTGTGATGTTTTGTTGTTGTGTTAGTTCTGCAGCGCCCCCTTTTGTAGATCAGACAAGTTCACAGCTTAGATTTCACGTCTGATAGAAACTTAATATAAACGTTCAAAACTAAACCGACTAAAATTAGCAGTATTTTTGCCCCACTTTACGAAAAAAAAATGTCTGTCAAATGTTCGATGTGGTCGACTTTTAGCTTAGCAGGTCACGGGTGTGTTGAAAGAATTCAAACGTAAACAGGAAGTTGACTGTAAATCAGACAAAGACGAGGCTAAAGCTAAAGACGCTAACGTCAGCAGATACCCGTCGTCTTCCGCTGCTAACATCCCCGCGGTGCAAATCACTTCACTTCCGACACCTAACAGCAGCAAAGACACGCTCCCCTCTGACTCCATCCATCCATCCATCCATCCATCCATCCATCATCCATCCATCCATCCATCCATCCATCCATCCATCTTCATGCCTGTGACTTCCACTAAAGTCATCACTTGTCGTGGATCCATCTCCATTTTCTTCTTCTTCTTCTTCTTCTAAATATTCATCGTCTTTGTCTGGTGGAGGGTGAAGAAAGAGCGAGACCCCCTGCCTTCTGTAGTATCTGGGTCAGATTTACGAGTCTGGATGGTTGGTGTGTGGCTGTCAGTCAGAGACATGAACACACACACACACACACACACATCGACGTGTAGAGAAATCTTATCTGTTTCCCCTTCCCTCTCATCTGACACCAGATTAAATTTGACTGCCACCATCAGCTTCTCTCTCTCTCTCCCTCACCCCCCCACCCCTCTCCTCCCTCTCCATCTCTCCATCACCTCCCCTTTTTTGGAGAGCCTAGTTCACATCCAGATTTTCCGGCTGCGACTTCTGAAAGAGTTCACGGCTCCGTCATTACTTCAATCTGAGGCTGGTAAT